CCCCTCTCCCCACCCCGGTCCTAATGGAGGCAGGACAGAGTGTGGGGCTGAGGCACTGCCAGCTCATCTTGAGCTTTCTGCTTTGCCTTTGGCAAAATAACACCAAATTCTGTCCTTTCCCCAGTTAACTATCAGGGGAAGGAGAGGGAAACCCGCATTCATGAGCACTCCTGCACATAAGGCTGTGCTGTACTTATTGTTAAGGAGCCTCACGACCAATGGTAGAGAGTTTTTACTAACCCCATTGCATAGAAGAGGTGGCTAGGTTCAAGGACACTGTGAAGTCAAGATTTACATCTGATCTCGGGCCCTCTCTACCCGGATAGTGTCTTGGCAGCTTTGTTGAGACTCAAATGTGTGATATTGTGATTTATAATAAAAAATATATATCCTGGTCTTCATCACGGGTTCCTGGCACAGAGCTCCTAAAACCCTTGAAATGTCCTGAGCGATAGAGAAGCTAGAAGCATCCTTTGTTCCAATATTTGGTCTTTGACCCCAGTTTCTGACACAGAGTTCCTAATTCCTTGGAATTTCTTGGTGAAAGGGATGCCTTTTGTTCTTGGTGGGCTCCTGGATGGAGGCTGATCACCAGCAAGACTTTCAGCCCCGCATCCTCCAGGAAGGGAAGAGGTGCAGTGACCGAGTTCATCGCTGGTCGTGCCTATGTGATGAGGCTCCCATACAAACCTGTGAACTGCAGGGTTCGGAGAGCTTCCAGGTGAGTGAACGAGGTTTTCAGCCCTACTACCAGTTCATCATGGGCCTGACACTGAAATGACTTCTAAGTTTCCTTCAGCAAGTTGCCTTTTCGAGTCTCTGGTTCTCAAAGACTTGTCCATGCTACCAGATTATTTAGCTGCAGAGCTGAGGCTTACACCCTCCTCCCCAGCTTCTAATCTGTTGTTCCTTGCTTAGATCAGGCTCATCCCTCCCTCACTCTCTCCCTGGACTCCAAGGGGCCCAGAGCTCAGGATGGATGACCCACCTCTCAAAGGGTCTCAAGGCTTTCCCACAGGGGAGGGGCCTCTCCTGAAAGGCAGACTCTCCCCAGGTGGTCACCCCAGGCCCTCTGGGCAGCTCCCCCTGCTCAGAGATCCCTGCTTGGCACAGCACCACTGAGAAGTCTTTCTGAACCATCCTCGATGCCTCAGACCCTTGCATTTCTACAGTACTCAGCTCTCTAAAATCTCTTTTACACCACTGGGGCTTCCCCACAGCTCCCCCTGCTCAGAGATCCCTGCTTGGCACAGCACCACTGAGAAGTCTTTCTGAACCATCCTCGATGCCTCAGACCCTTGCATTTCTACAGTACTCAGCTCTCTAAAATCTCTTTTACACCACTGGGGCTTCCCCAAAACCCAGCAAGGACAGCAAAGGCTTTGGACGAGGTGGACCTGAGTTTCAATCCTCCATTTGCAGCTGACTAGCTGTGTGACCTTGGAAAGGTTACTCAAGCTTCCAGTGACTTGATGGCACCACTGAAAAATAGGCATTAGATGAGTTAGTGTTTGAGCTTTCTCAAATACCTGGGACATGGGAGGCACTTGGTAGGTGGAACGTTGCTATTACATCCTTTTACAAATGAGCAAATTCAAGCTCACCTTGGTTACATGACTGTCCAAGAAGTCTTCTGAGCCTCCACCCTGCACTGACACATTGCTTTGCCTCTCTCCCCTCTCTGGTCCCTGCAGCTGGCATGGCACCCACGGCAACCAGACAAATGACAGTTGGTGGCATTCCTGTTTTATTTCTCCCATTCCATCTTCGGTTCCCTGAGAACAGGATCTCTGTCTAATACAACTCCAAATACCATTCCTGGCACAGAGAAGCCCTTGATCAATGCCTGAGAAGCTGTTTCAGGGATACTTTGTCTGCTGTCCTCAAGGAAGAAGGGATCGCAAACAGGAGTGGTATCCATGAGATCACCCCAGCTCCAAATCTCAGGAGAAGAGCTGTCAGCTCCTTAATCCCCCCTGTGCTGCCAGCTGCCCATGGAGAGACAGGCGACCACAAGGCAGGCACACACCCCAGACACTAAGAATGTCCGGAACCGTGTCTAAGGCAGGAAAAAGCAAAGGAGAAGCAAGTTCGTGCATTAATTCCACAAATACATATTTAGCACCCATGCTGAGGACTCTGAGGATTCAGTAGTGAATACTGAGAGCACAGTCTCTGCTGTCACAGATCTCATAGCACAGGGTCCCCTCTGAGGTCTCAGGAAACAAATCATCTCATAAAGATCTTAGCTATCGTCTCATTCAGCCAGACCCTTCAATCCAGAGAAGGGGAAACTGAAACCCAGAGGGGGGCAGGGACCACCCACAGTCCTCAGGGAAATAGTGGCAGGCATATCCCACGCCTGTCTGGGAAGCCCAGCCTGAGCCAAGGACACGCCTAAGGTCCTAATCTCTAGTACCAAGCCACCCTCTCTCTGTGGAGAGAAGGGAGGGGGCATCACCTGCTTCCTGTTTCCTGGATTGGCTAGAAACCAAGCCTGACCTCAGCCCAGGGCAGGCAGAAGGTGCGCTATCTCTGCCCAGAGACTATTTAAGGGCTCAGCGGGGCATGAGCATCCCTGGGTACGGGCGTCTCAGTCCAGGATCAGGCTGGGGACAGGACTTGGTGCATGGCCAAGACTTCTCCGACTGCCTCTCCAGGGACAGGAGAGCAGAAGTGGGCTCTTCAGGAAGATAGAAGCGGCTTCCCCTACTGCTCTTAACTCAGGGTCTGGCCCCAAGAGAAGGTCCCCCTTGCCTCTCTGCATGTTTTGAAGAGGTTATTTTTGCAACCTAAAGGCTTAGAAAACTTTTTGTCAACTGCTTAGAAGGCCTGAGACCTCTCGACAGCAAAGCAGAAGCAGCAGCCAGGCCACCAGCTTCAACCACCAGGGGCTGAAGGGTGCTTGGGAAGGAGGCTGGCTGTTCCCAGGATGTGGGGGACATAGCAGCTGATGTTCTGGACTTCAGCATGAGCTTAAACCACAGCATGAGAGACTAACAGTAGATGCAAGGACAATCTAAACAGGCTGCCCATAGAAGTTAAGAAATGGGTTTCAGGTTGGTGCACCCTCTTAAGAAAGGTGTTTGCATGTTTTTAAGTTGATGAGATCTGGTTTTTTGTCGAGTTTAAATAGTTGCAAAGGATATAATGTCTATTTTTATTTATTTATTTGACCTTGGTGTTAGCACTGCACTGTCCCAGGTGAGCTAACTGGCCAGCCCAGGATCTAATTTCTAGATTGTTGTATATTGTGATTGTGCTTCATCAAAACCTTGGAGTTTATCAGTTGAAATAAACGTGTTCCTGTACATAAAAAAAAAAAAAAAAGAAAGGTGTTGCGGCTTCTCTCACCTCATGACCTCAAGGGAAAGGCAAGGATCTGGGATCAAAGAGACCTGTCACCGTTTCCTGGCTTGTGACCTCATTCAAGTTAGTTACTTAACTTCCTCAGGCCTCAGTTTCCTATTCTGAAACTGACACTAAAGGCTGACACCGACTTCACAGAGCCGTTGGAGGAGTCAATGAGATGCCGTCACGGAATGCCAGCAGGGCCTGGCATACTGTATTCACTCAATACATTCCCTTTCCTTCCTCCAGCCCCAAGGAAGTCCATGTCAGTGTGTTCTCAGGAGACACATTCTCGATGAAATCTCTCCCAGAAAGAACAGGTACCAGCCCCCCCCTCCCCACCCAACCAGGGTTTGTGAGGAAGGAGCTTTGCCCAGCAAGGCTCAAGGAGACCCTCTCAGAGGGCTTGGCTCTTCCTGCAAAAGATCAGATTCTCTGAAGAACAGAGCCACCTCCAACCTGCTCCTCCCAGCAGAACTAAGAAACCGGTTCTCCTTCCTCACCCCCAATCCTCACGCCAGGGCCTGACCAGCTGCAGCACCCAGAGTTCTCTTCTTCCTGTTCCCTTCCCTCTGTTCAGGGCCATACATCCTGGAGCTCAGAGAAACCAGCCTTGCACCAGAGCGGCATGGATGCCGCTGCTGTAACGGGCCCAGGATGGAGACACTGAGGAGAGGGGAGCAGGAGCAGGATTTGGATCAAAGATGACAGTAAGGGTTAGTGTTGCTTTAGACTTATGCTTGGAAAAATCAGGAAGGGCTTCCTGGAGGTGGTGTCTTTCCCTCTGGGCAGTTTAAGTCCCTTTTGGGAGGAGGTGTCAGCTTCAAGGAGTGGGAGCCAGCTTTGCAGCAGGGTAGAGATGGGAGCCTCACCACATGTGCTGCTTCCCCGACTTTCTAGCCAGGCATACCTAACCTCCAGAGTGGCCAAACCAGTTCCCATCTCTACCCTCTGCAAAGCTGCCCCCCCCCAAGCCAACACCTGCTCCCAAAAGTCACTTAAGGTGCCCAGAGGGGAAGACACCAGCTCCAGAAAGCCTTCCCTGATTTTCCCAAGCAGCATCTGTGTTGAGGACCAGAAGCAAGCCAGGGCCTGGGGTCCCAGAGCACACTCTGGTCTTGGAGTCCTACAGATGTGGAGCTCAGTCCCAGCCCCGCTGCTCACTAGCCATCCATGAGCCCACGGGGCAAGCTTCCATCTCTCTGACTTCAGTGTCCCCCATCTCTCAGATGGGAATAATAAGTCCTAACAACTTACAGTTGTAAGTACTAAATGACACATGTGGGTGAATGTTCCTAGCACAGTGCCAGCCATGCCATGGTGAACCAGTGCCATCAATACGATCAATCACTTGGTAAGTTGTCGTTAGATGTGTCAAGTCCTGTGCTAGGTGCACCAAACTGCTCTGAGGAGACCTCCCCGCCCACACTTCCCCTGTCATCCCAGGGGCTAAGCAGGAAGAGCAAGTCACCCAAGCAGCACTGGGTACGCCCCGCGCGGCAGTGCCCTGGGCAACCCAAAAAACAAATTATGACCACACAGGGAAGAGGCCAGAGTCGGGGGAGAGGTGAGCATGTGGACCCTGGGCTTCCTCAGAGGTCAGAGGCCAACCTGGACCCCAACGAGAAAAGCTGACATACCACCAAAGATACTTGCAAAAGGAAAGCAACTCTTTATTGCGTGAACAGACACCATACAAATGAGATTGCTGCACAATACGACTGCTTCTTGCACCTCCTTACTCTAAAGGAGGTGAGGAGAGCTGGGGGGAGAGAGCATGCAAAACGCCCAGCTAAGAGACAGAGGGACCCTCTTCAGCCAGGCACTCTCTGGAGCAGGGACTGGTGTTTGTTTTTCCAGCCCCTCTGGTCAATCGTACACTCAGCCTGGGGAGCATGAGGGGTGGCAAGGGATGTTTCTCCTGCAGTAGGCACTTAGATTTCTCTCTTGCGGGAAGAAACCACCTTTCCATCCACTGACTCCTCTATATTGATGCGAAAATTGCTGCTGCTGCTGC